CCTCAATGTCGAGAAAAAGCACAGGAGCGTGATGAACTTACAGTATCGGGTGTTGTATATCGGTGTGACGTTCAGCACAAGGTCATCTGATGAACATTTCGATGATGTCGTCGCATGATTCAGGGCATCACCAATGGAGTTGAACGCGACACGACATCGACATTCGTAAGGACATTTGCTGTGAACGGTTCGCAAGTGATGAACAAGCACAGAGAGGCCTGGCTAAAACAATCATTATTGAGTGGAGATATAACGATTGTAGTCATTTGTGAAACTGGGATGCGCCATATATGCGACTTTTCCTCGGAGGCGAGAGGCATTTGAAAGCGCAGCTTTGATGTACATTGATTTCCAAGCTGTTATATATCAAATAGATACCCTCTTCATTGCTTTATTACACCAGCTACTGAAAAGGGTGTAGCGAAGGCAAGACGAAAAAAGGGGCGTGGTTGGGACGCTAAACAACATCCCCACCCATTACATCCACTTTGGGTGGAGAGGGCTTCAATAGGCGTTCAGGTTAGCGACCGCTGACGCCATTCTACACAGAAGTTCGGGTAGAATTGGGGCATCTCTGCACATACGCACTTCTCCTTATTCAGAGAGAGAAGAGCTCCGCTTAGCCAACCTGAACTGTGCCTTTAAGACCTGTTTTAGGTCTCCATTGTACTGACAGACCGGTTCGCAACCACATAATGCCCTCAATTATGACCCATGACTCGCTGTAGCTCTAAAGTTCTGCAGAAGCTCTCCTCCTTTTTGCTTATAATAAGTTCCCACCTGTTCCAGGTAGCACTGGGAGCATCTATAGGAAAGTGGCGTTTTTCCAGGTAACAGAGGCTCAGGTCGCGTCACTTCACAGCCAGCCATGTCCACACTTGGTAGCTGAATTTTCCGAAATCATGGGCAAAGTGTAAGCCATAAGGTAAGAGTGAGTAAATGAATTACCTGCTTTTGGCGTTCAGGCTCCTTGTCGGGCTCACATGCGAATATACGTGGTTTGTCCTCATCGTCTCTTTCTGCGAGATTGGTCGTGGCTTGATCGAACGCCTTTGATCGGCTATACTTCGAAACGACACGGATTCCATGAGTCTCTGAACCATGGGAAACTCGAATGCAAGACACTTTCCTCCGCGCGCGGTCGCGTTGCGACAGTTAATGCTCTGAGTGGGGTGAAAGGCCCTTTTGTAAGCGTTTTTGTGATGTCATGTTTGAGGCGCACATGAGGATCAGTAGATTGCGAAGGGACCGTGCAGGTCTGCCTCCCACCGCACGTGGCAAAGCATACGGTGGGAGGCAGTTAAGTGCCACCCTAGAAGTTCCGATGGCTCTTGCGGCTCTCAGATCGTGAGCAGCAAGAGGGAAGTAGCACCAGGGTTCGGGTCAGGACGTAAGGATGGCATGGCGCAACCATAAACAATAGCGCCACCGGGGGGGGGGGGTGTGGAGCAGGTATTGCCAGGCCCACTTTTGAGTGTTTATCGTGTAACATAATTCAACCCTAACTGGGTTTGTGTCTTCGCTGGGGAACAAGCTGACGCGTTAGGTGGCGCTTCGCCGTCGCCTTGAGCGAATCGCGTCTTGGCCGCGCGAGCGGCTTAAGTAATATTTTTTTATAGTTACGGAACTTAAGAAGTTTGCGTTAGTAATGGGATGTATGCTGATGGAACACCACTTCGTACCTTGTATTTTCTTATCGAGGTTCAAGTGGGTCGCATTCTAATGGTTGGGTGTCGGTGTGGAGGAATTGTTGCTGAAGACAAATCATATCGTCAGTCCTTTTTGCAGCGAAGGCGCCCTTGCAAAAATGGCAAATGGCAAATTTATCTATTCTCTTTATTTTGCGCAACTTCATGTGTTTAGAATGTGTGTCTCTAGGCGGGTGTGCTGTGGTTGCGGTCAAGTCTTATTACGTATGTCTGCGGCCACCATATCGGGGTGCTCCGCTTATTGGATGTGAATTTTTAATCCTGGGTGGGGTGTTTTCTTTAGTTGGTGCACAGAGCTTGCGCAGAGCAAGTGGCCAGAAAATTCACCAGAATCAGCGACATAAGCAGATTCGTCGGCCCGCGTTACAACTATCACGTTTCTGCAGCAGACATGCAGTAGCGCCGAAAGGCCGCGCCGCTCCGCTGATTGCAGAGAGACGGTGTAGAACGAGTAACTTCTCGGCGACATTGTTGGCTGGATGAGATCTGTGCCTTTCTCATTTTGCTGTGGTTCGTTGTGTAGCAAATAGCGGGCACCTGATGAATCGTCGCTCACTGAGTAGTGAACACCGTTTGTGTCGAATATCGCCGAAATCCATTTGACCCAGCCATACCCAAACTGATGAGATGCGAACAGCGTTCCGGTGAGACAGTCCGCAATCCGATTTTCCATGCGGCTTACAAGCTATAGTTTTACCCCTTTGTGAAACGGCAATCGTGCAGCATGACTGGCGGACAGGGGTGCATCTGAGAGTTATGCCCCCGAAATGCTGCTACTATACTACGCAAATGGCACTCGTACGCTGCGCTCATGCTCCGCTTGGATGAAGTTTTCGCTTGTGCGTCACCTCGAGGCGCTATGGAACCAGTGGTGGGAAAAAGTAATCTGTCAAGCGAATACTCCACGGGATTCACTTGCTCTCGAATCTATCATATATAGTGAGTCTCCAGTTTGACGGAACCTGACACAACCGCAAACAACTCGTCCACATGGGCGGGACAATCATAATTTTCAGCACATATCGAGTTGACATGGTCGTGCCAGATACCGTTGGATAATGGCAAAATGACCAGTTTTTTAGGTCCAGAGAGGGAAGGAGGTGAGCACACAGTGGTATGGTTAAATCCATTTCTGTACAAACTGCCTGTGTTCGAGAGCTCAGCTCGATATTGAAACAGTGTCGTACCTTGGCCTCAGTCTCATCGTCTGGTCCTTCTATAGCTTCTTGCTCAGTGAGATAACGCTTCTGGAATGGCTCATGGGTGTCGTCAGCACGACGGGCGACGAGGCCATCGAGTGTGTTTGCCGGATTGATTAACTGAAAAGGAAACATGCTTGATCAAGATTTTCCACTTCACAGAGCCCATATTATGAAGATGATAGCGATCGGGCGCAATAACTTCGTGCGAGCGCTTAGCATTAAGGACGCCGCAAAGAGGAACTATTGCTTGTCGCGCGCGCGGTGACATCCACAGATCTTCCTAGGGTGTCGGTCAAGAGACTAGCATCGCGGCGTCGCGTAGGAATTCGAGCGCTCCATTACAATGGCTTATCGCCTCTGTTACGCCTGTCGCGCGCGACACGACCCAGTGATTGCCATGGTCGCCCCGCCTCGACATGAGCCTCTTGACTCACTCTAGCCTTTTGTTCAGTGTTGTACAGCGCTATACATTATCGAAAATCCTTCGGGTTCTCAAATCTACGAGCCGCACAGTGAAGGAGTACCTTTTGCATCTGATGACCAGGGAATTCTACAGATGGACTTGTTTTGTTCACAACCCAGTATTCTTGTGAAACATCTGCAGATGGAGTATCTGAGACAAGTCACGACGCCCCCAAGTAAATCTGGTGACTAGCAGCTGATA